GAAAAATACAGTCTCATGTTAAACAAACAAACAAACAAACAAACAAACAAACAAAAAACAGTCCAGCCCTGAAATGATCTTACTGTTTCTATAAAAACTTCTAAAACACCACATGGAATTCAAGTAACTTCAGAAAGCAATTATTGAGCGCCTACTATGATGTAAGAGCTTGGATACAAATGTGCATAATCCTATCGGCCATGCCCTCTGGGATTTCAAGGCATATGTGATCTGTACACATTTAATATTCTAAGTGTGAACCTATTTTATGAGATCGCAAAGAATACAGTGTTTAATTCTTTCTGCAGGAAGAGGAATGGGAAATGAGCTTAAAAGAATTTTCCAGAATTTCAACTCAAGATGTTTACAATATGAAGCAATCCCTATAAATGGATGAGTTGAGCCGTGTGTAAAACAATAGGGATTGGGAAGGTTTGGAAAACTGGATACTGCATTCCAGCTTAAAGGCATTCAAGTTCAAATTAAAAAAAAAAAATTACCACGGATGTAAACAAAACCATCTGAGGTCAGTTTGCAACCTTTGCAATACACACACGGCAAGTGTTACTTGAGGTGGATTAGGAAACAGGATTGAACATCAGCAGGTGGAGAGGGGAACACGTGAAATTCTAGAGTGTATAAATATCATTTACCAAGAGCCAGAGATGAAAGTATTTGGAATGTGTAGCTAGCGGTAGGTGGCTAAGAGAGGGAACAATGAGGCATGAGGGAGACATCAGCCTAGATTATAAAGGGCCAGGAACACAATGCTAAGTTCAAACATCATCTTGATGGCATCAAGAACCACCTCATTAATTTCCTTAATGGTATCCTCTTAAGGATGCATCCTTAACAGTATCCTCTTAAGAGTTCAATGGTTGGGGTGCCTGGGTGGCTCAGTCGGTTAAGCGGCTGCCTTCGGTTCAGGTCATGATCCCAGGGTCCTGGGATCGAGCCCCGCATCGGGCTCCCTGCTCAGCAGGGAGCCTGCTTCTCCCTCTCCCACACCCCCTGCTTGTGTTCCTGCTCTCGCTGTCTCTCTCTGTCAAATAAATAAATAAAATCTTTAAAAAAAAAAAAAAAGAGTTCAATGGTTTCTCAGGTCTTCAAGAACACAGATTTGTTATTATAAATGATTTTATCTCATAGGAAATGAGAAAATGTTCTCTGTCACGGGGGAAAATTTGATGGAATTACCATGATGGAAAATATCTAACTTTTTAAAAATCTGTTAGATTAAATACTGCATATTTAGAAACATCTGTTTATTCATAGGATACATGGCTCAGTCGCATAGATTATATCCAAGTTAATGTTGATTATTTTCTCTTGAGTGTAAATATATATATATATATATATATATATATACAGCTTTTAAAACTTATTCAATAATTAATATGCTAATAATTATTTGACATTGTTCTAAGGGCTTTATCATTTCAAATTATTTCACTTCATCTTCATGAAACTCTTACTGCTGTGGAGAGATCACCCCACTTACAGGTAAAGAAATACAGGGTAGCAGATAGGAGGTAACTTGCCCAAAGTCACACAGCCCATAAGCAAACAATCCAGCATTTCACCCAGGCAGTCTCTCCCCAGCGTGTGCGCTCTTAATGTGGAGTTTATATGCTCTGTATGAACTGGTTGATAGCTAGAGCTGGTCTTTCTTCCTAGGCCTGTAGAACCATTCTTCTAGAAATATGGTAGACCCTAGCCTTGTCTGTGATTACCACTAGGCTATCCTCCTAGCTCTTTCTTACTACTGACTGTTAGAATTTCTCTTATTCACAGTAGCTCTTTTTAGTCCTGGCACATTTATCACCAGACAGAACTACTGGAGGAACATGAATCGTCTCTTTTTCTGCCCCCTCCCCCCCTCTGTTTGTACTACTACCAGACTTCATTTAAAACTTCCTTCATTCTCACAGGATCTGTTTGGCAGAAGGCTTGGGTTTGACTTCATCACTACTTCTTCATAACAGAGGGAAAAAAAGTCAAATCCATCATAGGAGAAATCACAACATGAAATACAGTATTTACTAAATTCCAGAGTATTTGTGTGATTATTTACAACAGGATCATGATTACCATCATTGATAACTCTCTGTTACTTGTCTATTGTGGGTTTCTGCAAAGTTTCTTCCTGCTTAGAGATGATTTCTAAACTAGCATTTCTTGGGTTCCACACAAGCAGTTTTTGTCTGCAGTGACTTTTCTCTGCCACTCCATCAGAAAAATTGTGCTCTGAGGTTTTAACATACACTGTATCCACGTCAGTGATTCATGCTGATTTGCATGGTAACAGCGTGGACATGGCCAGGATTTCTCACAGACACATGAGATAACCTATGGGTGAGCACAGATCATTTCTCAGAGCTCAGTTTATGCTGCATCTTTCCCTCACTGTTTCAAAGTCACTAATAAATTTCTTCTACCAATATACCTACTTTTCTGTTTAATACAAAGCTTCTCCAGAGCCTCAGGCACAGCACTTCCAAATGTCAACTGCTATCAGCTCTGCACATTCATCTTTGTTTCCTTATTTCTCCGAAGTTGTCTGCATGTCTCAGAGGTGAGTCCAGGTGGCTTAACATAACATCAGGGTGCGGGGGTATAGGAGTGTATGTATATTCTCAAAATGCATATAGCTATCTATCTCATCTCTCCTTCTTGCCTGCAAACTTTTCTGGACCCAACTAAGTATCCAGCATAAAGCCTTACACCTTGCTTAAGATCAACAGAGGATAAATTGTGTTTTTAAATTATCAATCAGTCAATCAATCACTCCATCAAGTATCCCAGGTCCTCCACTTTAATTTACAGGAACGGGAAGCATATTTTGAGACAGGGAACATGCTGTATTTCAAACTGTAATGCAAATACAATGTTTTGTGAAAACGTCCAAATTAGGTTTACTTCATTTTTATCTGTATTTATATATATCTCAATGTATGTGTGTGCTTGTGTATATATCACTGTATGTGTGTTTCTGTGTGAACTGCATTTTCGCCTTTAGGAATATGAGGGCAACCTTTCTTCAGTGAGCCCAAACTTCCTGTTTCCCTATCCTGCAGCCAAAATTCAGTGAAAACATTTCATGTGTGATCTTCATAATCAAGTGGAGCTGGTGCCAAGCAGGGGTGGGGACATGTCACCAAGCACAGTGACTCTTTGACATATGCGAAGAAGGATATATGACAGAGTATACCGACTGGTCAAACTAGTGCCTGCCGAAACCAACAGGCAGGAGAACCAGAAATCTGCTGTCAAGATGCAAGAGCATTGGCTCAAATTAAGAAAAATAATTTCTAGTGTTTCAGAACCATGCAAAACACTGCAACATAGTGTCAGTTCCAGAGAAGTAAGTACTAGATTATAAAACATGAGCCAGACTATGTCTGGCTTCCTAGCTCTCAGTACTTGAACCAAACCCTGTAGCTTCTCTTCTGCTCTCTTCTCTTGATCCGACATACCTTTAAGAACATCAAACAGAGAAAAGCATGGGAGAGTGCTTTGGAATTTGTAAAATACTCTATAAATATAATGTGGTGTTATTAGTTTTTGTTGGGGAAAAATTGTTGGGAAAGAGAAATAAAACATCTCCTTGTTCAAAACCTGCTAGGCCGCTGTTTAACAATTACCACTGTAGCATGGGTTAGTCAGGTGAATTTTACTGCTTTTATTCTGCTCTATCTGTTGTCCCCATCTTTTTGTAAAAACAGAGGCATTTTTAGGATCCACTGTATTATGCTCAAGTACAATATGGGATATGAAAGAGTTATACTATTAAGTGATGATAGAAGTGGTTTATGATAGATGCTTTCTTTTTTTCATATATACTTACCCACTGCAATTTTACTTCTCTGTGCAAAAAAACATATTCTCTCATATTTGAAGTACCCAATTTACAAAGAACTATTATGGATTATACAAATTATAAATTTGTATAGTAATATATAGAATATGATTAGGTATCTTTAGTAATATGTTAGTAATGATACTTGAGAGGAACTAAGGAACTGGTAAGAAATCAGTTAAATAGTAAAAATGTATAAACACATTTATAGTAGAATCTGAGTGGTGATATAAAGATTGTTACTCAGCATTAAGTAAAAAATAATCATAAATTATACAACATTTCAAAAGAAATACAGGCTTATTACCTCCAAGTACATAAAATAAATTCTTCCAAAATATAGGTCTTTATATTATATTAAATTTTTAAAACTCAGATTAGTATATTTTCTATATGTGACTTGATAATACTAATACGTAGAAGGTATCTAAAAGCTGTTATATTTAGGGGCACCTGGGTAGTTCAATCAGTTAAGCATTTGCCTTTGGCTCAGGTCATGAGGGATCGAACCCCACGTTGGGCTCTCTACTCAGTGGCAGCCTGCTTCTCCCTCTCCCTGCCACTCCCCCAATTGTACTCTCTCTCTGTCAAATAAATAAATAAAATCTTTAAAAAAAAGCTTTATATTTATAGTATTATTTTGTTCGGCAATTTTCTTTCCTATATGTAGTAAAAAGGTTGTATCAGCCCAAGCCACAAGAATTTGTCAAGCAATTCCTCTATCTTTCCATCTATCTATCTATCTCTATTTCTAAAGAATATTCCTCACACAGATGAAACTTGAACCAAATCACAAGATTGATTCTTAACTCTTTTCTGTTTCGTCTATTTATTGCCATGTGCACACTTAATTTTGTGTTTATATATTTATTTATTTTTGCTCCAAAAAGAAAATAGCATGAACCATACATAGTTGCTTATCGCCTCCAGAGAGGCATATTCATCTATATCAAATCCTTTCTACAAATGTTAGTACGGACCTCATTTGACTAAAAACCACCTGTATTATTTATAAAGAGATCTATTATCCCAGAGAATCAAAAAGTTGGAAGGAGACTATCCAATGAGGAACAATTTAGCTTTCTGTTTCCTCTTGGACCTTCTGACTATGAGAAAAACAAATGCTCTCAGTGGTTCTTACCTGCAGTGCACAACCATGGGACCTGCATCAGGAGGGTTACAGGTTTTGACTCTCCGTAAGAAAGCTAGAAAAGGTGTAGGGTGCTCTGGAACACCGTGATCAGGCCAGGCAGTGAACTGGAATTGTCTTACTTCTCTCTTCTCGCTTGACCCATTCTGTGAAGCAGGAAGACTGGGTAAGATTCTGTGTTCTTAGCCTCAGATTGTAGTGATGAGTAGTAACATGGAAGAGGTAACATGGAAATATGCTATCTTAATTCCTTCCCCTACCCTATGACCTTTGGGAAGATGCACTCTTTGGAACTATCAACACCAAGCTATTTGTAAATGACAACTATTTGCTCAGGAAGATAAACATTCTTAGGTGAGAAGCATTATATTTTTTAGGTGTAACTATCAGGAGTGCACCTGTTGTATTTTGTGGAAAGAGCTAGCTCTTCTTCATCTATTCTTCATTTGCGGAAACTTCCGTTCAGAGTGAGAGTTCCGTATTCACTTATAAATCACTGGACAAGGAGAAAAATTGCTGAGTGATAATGGAAGAATTATTTCATTCTTCACCGTTGCCAGTGGAATCAAGATTAAAGTCTTAAGATATTTGATTTCTCAAAAGACGCTTTCTTTAAATAATGGAAAGGGGAAAGGGAGGGGGAAAAAATAAAAGGCAAACCTTGTAAAGTGCAAATGTCCGCACACAGTACGTGGCCAGTTCCACTGTATCGAGCAGCGTCACTTGCACCAGCCCGTGGGTTTCTGTGCCTCTACTGGGCCAGTACTGGTCACACTTCACCTAGAAGAAACAAGTGACGCATTCAGGGCAGATGCTCATCAATTTTTCTATTTGCCTCACTCAGAGTTGCTGTTTGAAGGAAAACAGCTTTTTTGCGTTTCATTTTATGTTGATCTTTTTCTGGCATGTATTCTTGTTATCCCATATATGTAAATTACTGCTCTAATGCCAATATAAACCACATTTTTCAAACTGGTAGGAATACTAAGCAGTAACAGATTCGATTTTCCTGGAGAAAAATAAATTGCAGATTGTTGCTGAGTAAAATAAAGAAAGAGGTATTTGAAACTTCAGAGTACTTGAAAAGAAAACACAAATTTTAAAAGAGGGCACTTATTGAATGGAGCACTGGGTGTTATACGCAAACAATGAATCATGGAACACTACATCAAAAACTAATGATGTAATGTATGGTGATTAACATAACATAATAAAAATAAATAAAAAAAAGAAAACACAAGTTTGTTCTGGGATATATGTCATGAATCGCATCAGGAGGATTATGTTCAGCCATTTAAATGACGTGGTGAGACAGTTAGTATTCACCCATCAAGGTTTAAAAGGCACAAACTAGTTCACCATCTTGAACTATCACAATTTCCAAATACATTTGTTTAAAGAAAACTAGAAATGATTTGTGAATCTATCAAAGTATAATAAACAACATGGCATTGTAAAAAATACAAGATAAATGGTATTTGCATCCAAAACAAATTAAATCGGTAATGGGTAGTGGAAAAAGAGCTGTGCGTTCCTTAAAACCGGTCTCAGAAGGTCATACAATAGTGCAAAGTTAAAATAATTTAAAATTCATTAATTTCAGATGAATAATCTACAATTTCTATGTGGAGTTGAACAAAAGCACATAAAAAGTATTCAAGTCAAGTAGTTTAACATGCAACAGAAAAATAATTCCAAGTCTGGAATACATTTCAAACTTACTAGGTACTGTGGGTATTAAAAAGCATAATAAAAAATGACAAACACAACACTATATTTTCTAGTAAGGTCATAGATAAGAATATATTTACCCTTTCTATCTCAGATTAAAAGAAAAGATGGGAATAATTCTTAACTGAAATGCATTTCTCTAGGTAAAGAAATCTAGTACCATTTTATATTAGGAATCACACCGTGTAGTTGAAAAAGAAAGATTCGAAAGTCATAATCTCTAGATTTAAACAAAAGCAATGAGGCATTATTATCATAGACACTAGAATTTTTTGGTCCAGTGAATAGAATTGCTAGATAATTATTTGCTTTTATGTTGAATATAAATATTAGTAGCATTCTGTGAATAATATTGTAATTTTTTCTTTCACAGACGTAGCATCTGCTCTTCAAAGGACTCAGGCTCTTTCTATCTAGATAGTGGGCCTTCTGAAAAGGCAGAGGTTTTATTCTCTATCCAATTTCCTAGACAACAAAAAGGAGAAAACCACTGTAATGTACAGTTATACAGTAAAGTGGAGGTTGAATTTACAAGGTTTGACTCTCATGCCTTTATTTCAATGGTGAAACCACACAAACACCTATTTTATAAAAAACAAACAAGAGTGGTTCAAGAAAGATGGGCAATTTGTGTCTTAATTGGATTTTTAAACATACTTACATGTTTTCTAGATGCATAATATATTCTTCTATGTTTATATTTCTATGATATGATCTACTTAAAGAACAATAACACAAGGGAAAGACAATTCTCTAAGGAGAATATTGATATAGCATGACCCTGACTGAGTACCTCTTATGTTCTTGGACCATCCATTAAAACCTAAGTTGTATGTGGGTGGAATTAGCAGAGGATACCACCTGAATACAGCCAACACTACTTAAGTAGCCATGATTCAGATTGAAAGAAAATCACAAAAATTATGCCAAAGGCTCTGATTTAAACCATAAAATAGATGTCAAGTTGATGTCTCGCTGCAAAGGACAAAAGTAACTTTGGAGACCTCTTACTGCAACATTTGAGAGGATGCCAGCAATGTGTTGAGTTAAAAAATGAAGAGAGAAACTCAACTCATTATTTAACAGTTTCAGCTGGATGGCAACCCTTTCAAATAAAGATCAACAGTTCAAATCCCATAGGGACAAATATCACTATGATAGACACAAAAACAGCAAGTTAATGCAATGAAATGATCTATAAGGTCAGTACGATGCACTGAACCAAATTCAATGCAATTATATTTCAAAGCTGGGAATTGATTATCATCAGACCTTTTGGTGAGATAAGACAAAGGAAATGAAGGATAGGACCATAAGCCAGCTTTTATGTGACCTCTGGAAGAGTTGTTTCATTATTTAGTGACTTTCCATCAACAACTCCACTCCATCCCTAAGACATAGCAAAAACTGAAGTTATACTAATTATTCTCATACTTCAAGTATTAAGTTTAAAACTGCAACTCTTATTGACTTATACTCTGACTCCTTTAGGAAAAAAGAATATTGGAAAACATTAAGGAGTGAATGTTGTGAACGTTTTTAACTTAAAGAAGGAGAAAAGAAAGCTTTTGTACTCAGTTGAAATAATGTACTTGAATCTTACTCTTTATGAAAAAAACAAAAAACAGAAAAACAAAAAACACCAAAAAAACCAACTCAGACGAAAACCCTGCTCTAAAATGTTTCAAACTCAACAGCAAAAAACTGGAAGCAATTTTTTCAAGCAAATATATTTAAACACTGTTGTTTTCTCTCAAGAAATATTTCACAAAGGGAGTTTATGAAAAAAATAAGTATTTTAATGTATGTACACACACACACCTATAGTCTCAGCAGCAGAATTAGAAGCTTTCCACAGGCTTCTCGGAACAGCTATAGCAATCCACTCTTCCCTTCATTAGTAAGTACCTGGGCACTCTTTTCTCTCTCTCATTCTCTGAGTAGCCAGCACGCTTTCATCTGCTTTCTAAGGGCTACATTTAAGGGCTCAGATTTACTGACATTCTTTTAAGTCCTTCATTTTTAGCCATACACTAAACAAACAATTTCTCATTTCAACATTAGAAAGCAATTGGGAAGTATAGTGAGTGAGTGAGAACAAGGGCACAGGAGAACAGTTAGAAATTATTTTTTTTCTAATTATCCAATGCAAATGAACTTGCTTCATCGTCTCTCTTGAAATGTTTTTACTTGGACAATAGCCCCTCCCTCCACCTTTTCTTCTTTTCCCCTGGGAGAAAATCTCAGAAGATATTTCTAGAGAGAGTTACCACTTTTAGGCTTTGTGCACAGAGACTAGTGTAGGAGGCTCCCCTCAGAGCATCTAAGAACTAGAAGGCAGCAGCTCCTGAACACAAATACTGATGCTTGCCTTTTCCTCTTTGATTCTGAAGTGACTGACTACATCTTCAGGGCTGATGCATAAAAGGTTGGGCAGTCTAACTGGATGGCTGGTAAACTGCTTCTCTATTTTTAGGACCAAAGTCCAGCAGCCTCATCTGTTAAATGGGTACAATATCTCCAGCATGACAGGGCTATCATAAGGCTCAAAAACCATGCACCGGAATCTCTAAACCCAACAGGCATTCAGTAGGCAACAGCTATTACTAGTTCTCAGTTAGACTATGTTCCCAATTTTTTATAATTGTTGTTCTAAAAAATGTAATCATTCTAAATGTGAACAAAAGAAACATGTTATTAATCCTAAAATACATGATATGTATTTAGGAGTTGTATTTAGGAGTTGCTAAGTCTTAGAAACTGTGAGGACACCAAAGTGAAATGAGATGCAGTCCTGCCCCCAATCCATCAGCTTTACTGACTAAATATAGAGGTATGTTTTCATCTGCTGGTTCTTCAAATACATAGTTGTGAGATTTTCAAATAACTCCCTTACTCTACCTGGGTCCTAGTCAGATGTGAGAAGAGAATAATTTAGTGTCTGAGGGGGAATAGGAGAGAAGCAGAACATGATACCCAGGCTGTGGTTTAGAAACCTTACCCAGTAACTCAATTTGAGGCCTAACCTAAATAAGACAGTTCAGATTTCTGGCCAAATTTGGAGGAGATACTTATTTTTATCATTAGAGTGATTACCCTTATATGGTAGCTTAATTTCTTCATAATTATGGAAAAAACAAGCTGACCATCACTAAATGTATGCTATGGAATTAATTTATATCCCCTCTTTCATGGCAACCTATTAAAAGCAAATTGATGGAATGATAAAACTTGTCATTGGAAATATCATGTAGGATTTATCCAGTAGGTCTGCTGACTGTGCTTCGGAGAAATGCTTTCTTTCTAGTTCGAATTTGACTTCCATATGGCTTATCTTGGAAGTGCCTGGCACATCACAGATATTCAACAACTGGAGGCCAACTTTATAATCAACTATACTGTGGTCTGCATTGACTTATTTTTAAATTGCCCAAAACTTTCTGAAAGCAAAACCTTCTCATTTCAATTTAACAGAGACTCATTGAGCATGGCAGCAGCATGGTGAAGCAACAGAATTCCAAAGTATGGGGCGTCTGGGTGGCTCAGTCAGTTAAGGGTCTGCCTTCGGCTCAGGTCATGATCCCAGGGTCCTGTGTTTGAGCCCTGCGTCAGGCTCCCTGCTCAGCGGGGAGTCTGCTTCTCCCTCTCCTCCCCACTTGCTCGTGATCTCTGTCACAATCTCTGTCTCTCTCAAATAAATAAATAAAATCTTCAAAAAAAAAAAAAGAATTCCAAATGTAATAAACCAATACCTTCAAAGGGTCCCAGTGTCACTGATGCAAAATCCACTTGCTATATGGTACTTCGAAAAGTTTGCCTGGGGCCAGATAATTTATCCAAAGGACTTAGAATAAACAATAAATGATAGACGGGAAAGTATAACTGTTGCTGAAAGTAACTGGAAATTGGTATCTACTATGTTTGGTCAGAAGAACCTTTTATAAGGAGCGAATAGAAAGTATGCTAACAGATAATACAAGTCAAAGCTGGTATTGGGACTATGGGAATGTTAATATACACTCATCAATGCACATTTAATAAGGGAGAAC